TCAAAGGGCCGGATGTAATTTTAGGACTGTATTCATGTAACTGTTCCTTAACAGTCAAGCAACAGCGCTAAACAGTTAGAGGTCAGCGCTGCCGCTGGGTAGAAACAAGGTGCCGGGCTGGATAAAACCAGGTGGAGGGCGGGATTCAGCCCACGGGCCCTGTGTTTGCCACCTGTGAGCTAAAGGAATAGGGAATGATAGCACCAGGAAACACGCCACATCAGAGTACAGGCCAATGTGGCTTTCCTGTCACTCTCCAAAGTCCGGGCTGTCAGCAGCAAGGATGGTGACTTATGCCTAAGGGCTGTCACTTCTCCACACACACCTCGGCTGCTTTCTCAGATGAAAGTGCTTAGACTGCTGAAGTTGAAGGTATTCCTTGTCAGTTTCTCCTTTCCTCCTCCTACCATACATGCCCACCTCTGCCTGCAAGCTTATGTGACTTAAGAGAAAGCAATTTGCTTTGCCAAAGACTGCCAGTGTGACCTTTTCCCATTTTTGGTACCTAGCTCTCACATACACCTGAGATCTTCTCAAAAGCCCTGCAATATTATAACCTGAGCATACAGGCAGTGCTTAATTGATTGGCATGTGAGACAACATGGGTATACCTGTGTTTAATGGCCACCCAGCGGACCAGACCGTGGTCTGTCTCACCAGTGGAGGAAATGTACATTCCAGCAGACTCACTGTGGAGCAGCAGCCTCTGCCCAGAGTAGCAGAGAGAGTCGATCCTGTGTGTCAGCGTCAGCCAGCCACTCGAGGGCCATGCAAAGGGGGGGCTGCACGTGGCACAGTGCCCGAAAGTGCTCTGGTTAATTGATGACATCTGCTGTGTTCAGGGGAGCAGGGTGTGGCCATCCTTAGAGTCTCTCTTTGGCAACTCTTCCTGGAGTTGCATAATGCTGTTGGCACATATGAGAAGATCCAGCAAGCTAAAACCGTAAGTAAATCAGGTTTTGCATGCATTACAGAAACAGAGCCCCTCAGTCTGCAGGACTGGCAAATGAGGAGCTTCACGGGGGTGATCTAGACACCTTCGCCACAGGCCCAGGATCCTGCTGATCAAAGTGCTTACCCATCAGCTTTTCTGTACACCGGTCATGAGTTCATGGTGTATGATTTACTGATCTGAGTAACTCCGGGGCCCCACTTTCAAATGGCATTTTTCAGAGTCTTCCAGTGCCCCCCAGATCTTGAGCAAGTATATTAGTACATTAAATGCTCACGACGGACTTACAGCATTGTCCACAAAACCCCCACCACAAAATGTCACATAATAAAGAATGTTTTTATTTTAACTCAAATGCTACCAAGTTTGCCATGCAGCAAGGAGCCTAAAGTCACATTGAGTACAACTCATATAGCATCTTCTGACTCTTCCATCAGGAAACAGTTAGTCAGACCACCCCAAGTGAGAGGAAGAAGACTACAAGTTCTTAAACAAATATTTTCATTGTGATTAACTTTTAATGGCTTGAGCCTGCATTTACTGATTTATTTTGGTTTCTTCATGTTTGTCAAAGAAAGGAAAAGAATAAGCAAGATCTGTGCAGAAACATTCCTTACTCAAAATTCCAGCTGCATGAAGTGGTAACAGAGCTGTCCTTCTATTAAAAAAAGAATTGTTTTCTCCAATTCTCTCATTGTTTTTTTGCATATAAACATTTAACAAATATTTATTGAGCCCCTACTGCCTTCCAGGCACTGTTCTGGACACTAGGAATATAATAATGAAACAAAAAACAGTTCTTGTCTTCAAGCAGCTTACTATTCATTCCCTTCCTTTATCTCATAGTATTATATGTAAGCTGTTATTCATTTACTACAGTGGTAGTACTTTTTCTAGTATGTTTTGAAAGACTGGATTTTTTTTCTTAGTTTGATTAGATGTAGGATCCTATTTTCCGCAGGGCTCTGTGTGAGGGTTTGTTTTGTTGGAGTTCAAAGAGTAGTCTATAGTAAGAGTTCTAATTAATTTTACATTCTTTTCTCTATCACAGGGCTAAGCTTCTAGAAAAAAAATCAGAGCATTTCTTGTCGTTTTTTAAGTTGCCTCCTTTTACCTACTAGCATGCCAATTTTCCTGAGGAAGGCAGTCTAGATTGAATGCTAATTATATATATGAGAAACAGCTGTTTTACTGTTTCAAAGATATAGATATAAATTCTCCCTCTCCATAAATCAGGATTTTTCGACCTTGACACTGTTAGCATTTAGAGCCCAGTCGTCCTTTGTTGTTGGAGGCTGGCCTGCTCTTTGTGGGGTACTGAACAGCATCCTTGCCTCACCCCGCTAGGTGCCAGTAGTACCTCTTTCCTGGAGGGAGATAACTGAAAACGTCTCCAGGCGTTGCCTAATGTGGCCCATGGTGACGGGAGCAAAATCAATCCTGGCTGAGACCCACTGGCGTAAATGATGTTATTCTGTGATTCAGGTCTCACGTCTTCTAAATACAGCCTATGAGTGAAATCCCCGAAAAAAGCACCCGGGACAGAAAGTATCTTCTGTGTGTCCTTTGTAGAAGCTTAGAGTTGAGTAACTTTCCACCAGGAAAGAGTTAATATAAAGTGAGCAAGACATTTTTCAGTCTTATGAAGCAACACCAGCAACAAATGATGAAATCTCTTCAATAAATTACGCCTTGGAAATAGTTTGCATTTCCTGTTGGAAACTTGTTAAAATCATATTCATTTACCGTAAGTTAGAGAGCATGTTGGACACAGTATACTGTAAATTAATCTCAAATGATGTATGGCCAAATGTGTTCCAGATTTGGTGATCTCAGCTCAAGCAATAGGAGGCTCATTTCCAAATATTTCTGTTCTCAGGAACTGACATTCAATTCAATAAGTATTTATTGAACCATGTAATGTGAGAGGACTTTAGAACAGTCTGATACTGCTTCCATGACCCTGTCCAGCAGAAAATCAGTGCCTAGAACAGTGCCCCCGAGACTCTCCATCCCTGATGTGGCATCCCCACTTTGGTTTACAAGATACTATAGAAAAAACTGGTTTTTCCATTCTCCTTCACTGCCTCAAGTCCTTTCCCATCCTGTACAAGCCGTGCCCTCCCCAGTGAATACATGTAATTACACATGATGTCATGTGTTTCTTATTTGGTTCTTTGATCCCAAGGGGGCCACTTCTCAGATTTTGCTGGGGACATCCATTGCATGTCAATTTGACAGGGGTATTGTCACAGAGGGGCCATTTAACCAACTTACCTGGCATTTCTGAATCACCTTCCTTTTTCATACACACCAGTAGATTCAAAAGTACAGGGCAAACTTGACAAAAGTCACTTCAAGAAGGGTTGGTCTTGACACAAAGAGAAAGAAAGGGTGAAAGAGAAACACAGTGGGCTAGAGAATCTTCTCTCATTCGACTGCTCTTTATTGAGTACCCACTGTGTGCCAGGCACTGACAGTATAGCTGTGAGAAAAATGGACAGGGCCTTACTTTCCTGGAGCGCACAGTTGATTGGGCAGTGAAACAAGTGGACAAGCCATCTTTTTTACTATGGTTCAATATGAAGGAAACCAAGATGCTAAGGAGCACCACAGAAGGGCCCCGCCCCAGCCCGGGGGAGAGCGGAGAAGCAGAGAAGGCTTTGCAGAAGAAGCAGTGTCTCATTCAGGACATGATGGATGTTGCGTATCAAAGAGGAGAGGGAAAGAACATTCAAGGCCGGAAGGAGAATGACAAAAATGGGACCACTGAGGAACTGAGAAGTTCAGCGTGTTTGGTTAGTAGAGTGTGAGACAGGAAGCGTGAGAACTAAACAAGAAAGAAACAAGTAACCAAGTAATAATACTTCTCAGGGTTCTGACTTGAGCAACTGGGTCATAAGTGACACCATTTACTGAAATAAGGAGCTCAGGACAAGTAGGTTTGGAGGAGGATGGGGTGGCGAGGACTCAAGTTTTTAATCCACCACTACCTCTGGAACATAGGATGATTTTTTTTTTTTAACGAAAGATGGCAAAAGCTAAGAGTTGAGTAGCAAAGAGTTGAGTAGCAGCTTCCAGTGATTTTGTTACAGTAGTCTGTCATGACATCCTGCAAATACACTTCAACCTCTTAGTTTCTGCCAACTTAATTTTTCACCCAGCAACTATTTCTTCATTTGGATACATATCAGGATTGAGGGTGGGGGATGCAGGTCGGTGAGGTGGGGGAGAGTGGTGGCGGGAGAATGGAGACAAACTGTACTTGAACAACAAAAATAAAAAATAAAAACATATCAATATTTTTTAAATTTTTATTAATTTTAAAGAGAGGAAGGAAGAGAGAATGAGGCATTGATTTTTTGTTGTTGTCCCGCTTATGGATGCCTTCATTGGTTGATTCTTGTATGTGCCCTGACTGGGGACTGAACCCTCAACCTTGGCGTGTATCAGGGTGACACTCTAACCACCTGAGATACCTGGACAGGAGCCTTACCGTTATCTTATGGCTTAAATTTTAACAAATGAGCCCTGAAAAATGGGTACCCATGAGTGAAGAAGTACAGTGTGTCATTTAGGGGCCGTATTCTGGCTTTTCCAACACACCTCTACCCTCTTCTTTAAATTTCCTTTGCTGTGATGGAGGTTTTTATTCTAATATTGTATGGACTCATTTTCTAGCGCATACATTTTTTTAGATGACTAGAGAAAAATATAATTATATGTATTATTGGGCTGTCTTCAGGCAGGTGTGTGATATAACAGAATTTTAAGGGGTACAGACCTCATTTGAGAGAAATTACTGTGTGGTGAACATCAGTTCTGTGTCGATTCCATTGCTCAGAGCATATGGGGCACGAGTGAGGTTGTCAAGGTAAGGGCGCTGAGCTTGCTTCTCACCGTCAATGCTGGCCACTGCTTTTCCTCACGTCCCTCACAGGCCTGAAATATCCAAGGACAAGCCTCAAGAATGAGCCCTTTGAAATAGTCAACCAACTGGCAACTAAGGAGCATCCAAGTTTACCTGCCTCCTTTATGTTTTCGGCAGGAATTTAGATAATGGGCTGTGTGCAATGTAAGGATAAAGAAGCAACAAAACTGACAGAGGAGAGGGATGGCAGTCTGAACCAGAGCTCCGGGTACCGCTATGGCACAGACCCCACCCCTCAGCACTACCCCAGCTTCGGCGTGACCTCCATCCCGAACTACAACAACTTCCACGCCGCAGGAGGCCAAGGACTCACCGTCTTTGGGGGTGTGAACTCTTCGTCTCATACTGGGACCTTGCGTACGAGAGGAGGCACAGGTAAGCAAGCCCCAGCGGGGGCAGGGGGCCGAACTGGGGAGGAGGAAGCTACAGCTACTCTTCATTTTTCTGGCAGTTGAACACTTGTGCTCCAGCTTGTGTTGACTAAGGACTGAATATTTAAAGTGTTTCATCAGTTTCCACCTATAATATATTCTACCAGGCAAAGAGTGTAAAAAAAAAAAAAGCCAGAGCTTCATGTGCTCATCAAAATGCTGGTGGCGGCGATGTGGGGACCCCACATTGCTGCCTCGTGAGAGCCCGGCGTGGGCTCTGACGGGGTATGACGCTCCTGACGCACTTCAGGCCGGGGCTGTCAACCCCAGCTGGCTGGCTCTGAATAACTAGGGCAGCTTTTCAAATGCAGATGCCTGAGCCCCGTGGAGGAGCTTTTGAATCAGCAGCTCATGGACTGGATCTGAGAGCATGTGTTTGGAGGTTTCCAGATATTAATGCACTGCTATTCCCTGGTTAAAAACTAAGGGTAGCCCCTTCTCCCTCATCCTCCCAATCTTCAGCTAGCCTGTCACTGCCCCACTAGTGGGGTCATTTGGCAGCATTATTTTTGGCCATTCATCATCTTTGATTCTCTCTGACCTTCCCATCATCTTCCATATGACTGTTGTATCAGCACTCAAGTATTTTCATGTATCTTTTGTATTTTAAAGTGGAATCTTCTGTATCCTTAAGGGACCTTTTTCTCTTTTTTTTAAGTCTCATTCTCTTTCCCACCACGGGCCATGTGTCACTCCATGTGCATTTGCTGACTTAGCTAATGCTTTGGAAAATATCTGGCATATAGTCACAGACATAATGTTTTCTGAAACATTTGCAAGTTATCTCATGCATCCTTAGTCTTCCAAATCTGCTCCCAGTATGTGAATCATGGTAACTAGATATTTGACATTATTTGTTCCAAAATTGTTCTGTTCATTACAAAAGCTTAAGGGAAACTATACATTAGCCATTGTGCTCTCAGCTCTTCTGGGAGCCAGTGTCTTATGCAAGGACCCATTGTGTCTTTTTACCCAGGAGTTGGCATTGCTGAGACACTACCAGGGGTTTTCTTCCCACCGCACACACTGGGCAGTGTCCTTACATCCAGAGTACCTGACCCAGAGCTTTGGGCATTATGTCCTTGGGTTATGGTGAATCTAGCTTTCCCTTTAAAGCAAGCCTTGCATGGGTGAATGAATGCCAGGGACGCTTACTGTATTTGCCCTTCCTGCCTTGCTGGAAGGCAGCTGGAATGAAGGATGGAAGGAAAGGGTCTGTCAGACTGTCTAGGGACATCTCTTGAGGATTCAGGAGAAAAAAGAGAGCCAGCACTGCACCCAGTATACACTCCCTGCGCCCACTGAGTGCCTTGCCAGGCAGACTTGGAATTCTGCTGACACAGGCGTTGATCTTGTTCATTCATTCATCAATGCTGGATATTAATCCCTGTGTCTACAGGTGTCACTCATAGAGTCACTAGAGAGTATCATAAACTACTTGCCTTGAACATGTGGGTCTATTCTGTAATCAGGGACAATCCTAGTATGAGAGGCCATCTGGTCCCTTGTAAATTTAAAAAATAAAACACAGTGCCCCTAACGCTGGCAGATCGTTTTGCCTTGTGTTATCTGGCTTATTATAAATGTACGTCTTTCTCCGCATCACTGCTTTCAGTGCTTTACTGCCAGGTGCAGGGTTTGTGCATCCCTGTGACCTCCTGTGACCTCCTGTGGCTCTCCCTTCCCTCTCTAGAAAATAAAAATACCCAGTGAGAATTCACTGGCTGGTGGAGGGAGAGCGTGGCAGTGTCCATCCTCGTGTGCCTTGTCTTCCACACACTGCAGCCTGGGTTTGTTTTTAAAGTATGTAATGAAAGGAATCTGTTAATAGCGTGCTAAATGAGAATAAAGACTAGGCATGACTTTACAAGTTCCTACTTTTTTGTTTTTAGCCAGTCTCTTTTCTAAACTTTTAAGGAAATCTAAACAAAGGAGGCCAGTTGCCAAATGAGCCCTGCTTTGCAGGGTCAGACCTTCTGAATGCTAGCTTTCCAAAGGGAGGTCCCACTTGGGAAGGGGTAGAAAGACAAGCCCTGCTTCCCTCTCTGGTTCTTGAATTGTCCCGCAGGCACGTCTGTTCCCTTGGAACTACTTACACAGAATTTCTCACAAGCTGCAGTCAAGGTGTGTTGGCTGTCCGCTGCCAAGCTCATGGCATTGACAGGATTAAGTTCCTTGCTGGCTGTTGGCCACAGGCCACCCACAGTTCTTTGTTGTGTGGGCCTCTCCAGCATGGCAGTTTGCCTCATGAAAGTATTTGAGTCTGGTAGGAAGGCAGAAGTCGCCATTATTTGAAGCCTAATCATTTAAGGGACATCCCATCACCTTTGTCATGTTCCTTTGGTTAGAAGCAAGTCATTAGGCTGGCCCAGACTCAAAGGAGGGGATTGCACAAGGGCATGAATACCAGGGGGTGGGAATCATGGAGGCTGTCTCAGAAGTCCGCCTACTACCTGGAGGAAGTCCTAGGCCAAATGGGACACTGGACATTTTGTGCTGTTAATAGCAACCCTCTGCAAAGCAAGAAGGGCCCATGTGGGGAGTCAACCAGATGAGAAGAGATAGGATGGGTATGAGGAAGAGCAAGTACTGCAAGTCAGTGTGAGAACAAGTGACTGCAAGGTAGAAACCGAGTGAGAGAGGGAGTCGCAAAGCGAGAGGCAGGTGCAAAGGGCGAGATACCCTCTAAGGTGGACATTTACAGAGAGGGCCTCCTCAGTCCCCGGGCTGCAGCAATTTCCTACCACATTCTACACTGCTCTTCTGCCAGGGGAAAGAGTGATACTTTACCCAGCACCCTCTGTGGGCTCCTGAGTGTCAGACACAAGGCGTCGTGATTGCTGCAGAGCCCTGCAGATCTGAGCTGCTCCACTGCTGCTGCCCCTTCGTTGTGGGCGTGATATTAACATCTGTCTCTTCCCAGGGATTCATTCAGAAGTGTACAGAGAAAAGTCCTTCTGTTCCAGATTTTAGCCAGGTCAAAGAGGAAGGCATGAGTCCAGCCCTGAGACTCTGGTTTCACTCATTCATTACAAGGCAGCATCGTGTTATTGGTGCTGATTAGCTTTAGCTTTTGAGAATCAGGTTTTAGTGAAGATTTAATTTCTTGGAATTAATTTCTTCTTGTGTAATATCTTTCCTGCTTTGATTCATTTTGTCAGGAGTGACCCTGTTTGTGGCCCTTTATGATTATGAAGCACGGACAGAAGATGACCTGAGTTTTCACAAAGGAGAGAAATTTCAAATATTGAACAGCTCGTAAGTTTGGAGAGGGAGAGGGATGCATCTGTGCCTTTCAAGATCGGGGGGAAAGTTCTTGTTGCCAGTCTGCCTTTTCAGATATCCGAAATGCGGAAATGATTTGAAATGCCTTGCTCAACTCATTAATTCACACCAATTTAACTTGAGAATCGAAGAGTTGGTGAACCAGTGCAGTATTTTATGACAAGGGGTTTTTTGGAGGGTACCACAGTAGCCAAGTTGATGGTGTTGTTTTGCCATTGGCTTAAAGGTTGTAAAAGCATCAGCATCACTCTCTGCAAATCTGCATTTTCATATGATTGGCACAAGGCCTTGCTAACCACGCTCCCTTCCCTTTGCCTGGTGATGTTCTTCACATTTCAGATGTTGCTCTTGCTAAGCCCTCAGTTAAGACTAGCAACAACTTCCTTCTGTTTTCAAAACTGCTAAACATTCCAATTTGGTAAAGCCTGTGGAGGCGTTACCCCATAACAAAAATTTGCAAGTGACAGAAATCTTTGTGCGATGGAAGGAGAAATGATTTCGCCCACTCATGAGTGACTACAATGCACGCATTTTAAGTGTGGCTGGTAGGAACAACAGTTAAACAGGCCCCAGGGAAATTTCAAGGATGAGAATCACTCACTCTTCAAATACTACATTTAATACCTCCATTAGGAAGAGTAAATATAGGTCAGGTTTCCCTGTAGTCTTAAAATATTGCTTCTGGTTGGTTAAGGCCCTCCAGAAAAATCCAGGCACTAAAGAAAATGGCAGTGTCCCACGTCCGCAAGCCTTCTTTCCTTCTTTTCCTCGTGAGCGCCCCCCAGTGGTTGGGAGAGAGTGCCACTTGGGAGCTGAGGCCCTCCGAGGAAGTTCTCCTGTGCCTCAGGTCTGATAGCTCTGTCCTCTGCTCCCTGAGCAAACTCAATCTGATGACAGCAGAAGGACCTGACCACCTGGCCCTTGGCTTTCCAAAGAGCATGAGTGAGGGCGGCAGCCCTGTGGCCCTGCTCACACCAGCAGGTCACAGGAGGGAAGCGTGGTCATTGTAACAGGGGGCTCCTCAGGCCCCGAATGCTGCCTCTTTGGAAAGCCCACCACTTCCCTGGAACGCCACCATGGCTCAGAGCCAAATACTGAGATTATGCCACCTTTAGACCCCAGAACAGAATTTCTCCCACGAGAGTTCTGTAACTGCTGGGTATCAGAAAGGCCCTCCATGTAGTGATCCACCTGTAGGCAGGAGCTAGTAGGTGGCAGAGGTTCAGGGGCTTTTTAATTAAGAGGGAAATGGGTAGGGGTTGTTTTTTTACTTTTTATTTACATGCATGTGCAGAAAAGTACACATATCAAAAGTGTACACAGTGGTAGTTGCCCCACAATAAAATGTGCTTAATGCCACTTAGCTATACAGTTGAAAATGCTTAAGTTTTATGTTATGCATAATTTACCACAATTTTTTTAAAGTGTATAGTTTGCCAAATTTTCACAGACTGAAAATGCCTTTGCAACCAGCACCCAGATCAAGAAGAACATTACCTACCCCCCAGGTAGCCTCCTCCTATGGCCACAGGAACCTTTTTTAACTGGAAATATCACATTTAATGTATTCATTCCCCAGTTGATAGACATTTGGGTTGCTGCCACAAACATTCATGTACAAGTTACTGTGTAGACACGTCTTCAGTGGTCGTAGGCTGAGAATGGATTCACTGGGTTTCTTCCTTTCCTCTACTTCGTGAAAGTTAGTAGCTCTCACCAGCACTTCTAAGTGCAAAGTTCTCAAGCGTTGGACCTGCCCATCTCTCAGGTTCACATGTGGCAAGTCTCTTCTAGACGAGACCCATATGTAGAGACTTACCTGGTGGTCCTTCAGTACACCACACTCTCTCCCAGCCACCTGCTTTGGTAAATTCTCTTCACACTGCCAGGAGTCTTCCTCCCTGATTATTTGCTTTCATGGCTTCACTGATCTCCTTCACTACTGTTTCTCCTCTGCATTTCCAATGTTCCACACAAGAGGCTGGATCATGGTCATACTTTAGGTCCAGTGGATATACAACAGGGTGGTACTGCTCCAGAATTTCTTGTTTTGCTTTCCACGTTCTTATGACATATTCCACGATCTTTCCAGGATACTGCTTACATTTTTGTGGCTAAATCTACTATGATTTCATCAAACTGATCTTCAAGTTCTCTGATACTAGAATGTATAAAACAGTTATCACTTGGCTGGTGTAGCTCAGTGGATTGAGCACAGGCCTGTGAACCAGAGGATCACAGTTCAATTCCCAGTCAGGGCACATGTCTGGGCTGCAGGCCAGTTCCCAGGAGGGGATGCATGAAAGGCAACCATACATTGATGTTTCTCTCCCTCTCTCCTTCCCCTCTAAAGATAGATAGATTAATTAATTAATTAATTAATTTTAAAAACCCAGTTATCTGAAGCTGCTTACCACGCTTTCTCTTGCACAGCTGATTCAAAAGTCCGCTGTGCATCTCGCAGCGCAGACTCCGAATTTCCTCTGGCAGCGCGTCCCCAGGCTGCTGCACAAAGCTGCCGCACAGTCCCACCTGGTCTGTCATGGCACGCCCAGCACTGCAGCACACAGAAGTCCTCGTGGGAAGTGTGGGGACCAGGGTACTGTCTCTGTCCCAGCCACTCTCTCCACATCCTGCGGAGGCAAAAAACCCTATGCATTTTCTTAAAAACAGTAAACAGTTACCATTCATTAAAGACTCCTTATGTGCTAGCCATGCGCTTAATTGCAACTGTCTTATTTAGTCCCCCTTTTTAAAAGATTTTATTTATTTTTAGAAAGAAGAAGGGAGAAAGAGGGGGAGAGAAACATCAATGTATGGTTGCCTCTGGAGCACCTCCTACTGGGGACCTGGCCCCAGGCATGTGCCCTGACTGGGAATTGAACCAGTGACCCTTTGGTTCACAGGCCAGCACTCAGTCCACTGAGCAACACCAGCCAGGGCTCATTTATTCTTCATAGCAACTGTCTAAGGTGTGTCTCATAGTCATTGGGTGTCACATGAGGAGCCAGAGGCTCAGGTTCAGAAGCTGCCCAGGTACATAGAGGAGCAGCAAGTGGCAGAGCCAAGGGTGGCGTATGGCGGTGCATCCTAAGTACAGTGTCAGGTTTGGCCTTGGGAAGGCCTGGAGATTCCCATCAGAGGGGACTGAACCATTCGAGTTATGGGAAGGTGAAAGGTTGGCTGGGGGAGGAGGAGATTTGACTTTGATCTCTTCTGATTTCCAATACCTTATTGTTAGTTTGATTCCCTGATGAATGCTTCTTATCTGAGTCTGCTGACTTCGAATTCTGAAATACACTGCACTTTCCCTGCCCATTTCATGTAATAGTCTCTCAGTGCCAAGGCTGGTCAGAACTTTCAACCAGCTTCTGAAAGGTAAGAACTAGGGAGCGGTAGGAAGTACCATACCCAGATCTTCTGTAGGTTTTCTCCATGTGCAAATGGGTTTATGCGCCAGATTGCAGGGAACTTGCAAAGCCAGCCCTTGCCAAAGTCAAAGGCATGACTTCTTCCTTTGTTAATATGGATAAAATCTATAATGGTAGCCAATTGAAATGTTAGATGAACATTCAAAGAAGATCTGATCTACCTCAATCTATATTTTGTTATTTGCATGCATGGCTTTTAATGTTTATAGAAGGCTTTGAGCCTCTGACCCTATTCTCCTAGAAGAAAATATTACAAAGGTTCCCCCCCCCTTTAATATTCTTCTTGCCAGAGGAATTCCTCATCCTACATGCCATGTGAATGCCCTTTATCAAGGTTATAGGGGAAAAATAAGCTTTTAAAAAAACAAATACAATATCCTGAAATCCAGGGTAATAACAGGGAAGACAAAACGATGCAGGAAAAACAAAGCGGCAGCACAGAACCAGACGCGGCGTCTCCGCCCCTCCCCCTCCCCCATCTCTCCTCAACTGAAAGAGGGAGGGACAGGGCTCTGTCTCTCTGGGGCAGCTGCCACACCTCCCTGTGTGTGTCCTCCCACTCCTTTCCCTGACAGGAGGCAGAAATGGGAAGCCACAGGGCTGGCTTTTGTGTTTTAAAGTGCAGCCCGAGCCATGTGACATGCTTGTGCAGGTGTGCCCAGAGCCCATGGCACTGCTGCCCAGCCTGGGGGGGCCCTTCACCGACCTGCTGTAAGCATTCAGTGGTAATAATGTTTGGACATTATTAAATTTGAACCCATTTTGCAAAATATTTAAATTCATCTGTTTCATCCCCTATTTTCCCATTTCATGAGGACTGATACACCACCTAGAAACAGCAGCTCCTCCAAATGTAATAAACAGAGTGAAATAGTGGCCGTTGCCTAGAGTAGTGAGTTCTTTTCACAAGCAGTCCTGGTTTAGAGCCCCATCTAAACATTTACGTTCTCTGAAAGTAAGATGGGTAGTGTCAAACTTAGAGAGAATCTGACATTTATAATAAAACTGCTCCACAGCAGACATTGTTCGCAGATGCCACTTCCTGGTCCATCAGGCTTCCCAGCTCCTGGCACCGCAGCCCTATGAGCAATTTCAGGGATTGGAACTGGGCTCTTTTAATGTCTTTAAATTAGGACAGGGGAAGCTGTTATGACACTTAAAACCTACTCAGAGCCAGAGCTTAAATCATATATTTGAATCAGCGCAAGATCACAGTTAAAGAAAATCTCACCAACTCTTAAATTGAGCTATCTGAACTGTAAGAACAGTCTAAATAGATGTCCCTCTAATAATACTAATCTCTCCAATAACTTTTATCTCCAATAAAAGGTGGTATGGTAGAGATCCTCCTGTTTTCCTAAATCAAGGTGAATGATTTGTAAAGAGTGTATCGTTAATCTGTAGGTGAATTACACTTCTGGTGTCTGTGCCGGCCTCTCTGGGCACAACATATGAAACGCGCTTCCTGACACATCGTGTCCTTGTCACCTCGCATCTCCTTTGAATAAGAAAGTGACCCTAGATGGCCTAGAAAAAAAAAGAAGAGGTTTTTATCTTTCTCATCAATAACTGAAAGCCCTTAGGAAATTAATGGAGTCACTTAAGAGAAAATCATGAATTCCTGGCTTTAGAATGAGCTGATAGTTGGCGTCTAATTTATACTGAACTTTTTAGGTACCCAGACCAAAATAAGATAGTTTATGCTGGATTTGCAATGGAAATTACTTAATTAATAACAGTCACCTGAATAAGCCTGGGCTTGTCCCAACCTACAGCAAAACATATGGCTTCCTGCCCCAATGGCACGCTATACTTTTTTCTTGGTTTAAATAAATTAGAACTAACTTGATGAAGGTTATCTTGCATTAAAAAATAAGCCTGTGCTGCAAGCACTTAATTTTTTTCATCACCATTTTGGAGCATGTTTCAGGTGGGCGTGGGGTGTGGGGGAAGAAGAGGGGAGGCACCGGGTGGATAGGTATTGTTTTCTATGATGAAATGTCTCCATCTAGTGGAATCTCAGAGCACTAAACATTGTCACTGTATAAAAGGCAATGTCTCCAAAGCCATTTCTTTAAACACATGCAATATTTTTTTTAAAAATTAGCTTCCATATATGTTCTCAGATGATATCCTCACAGCTGCATGTATTTCTTTTGGAACATAGAAATAAAACCAACAGAAACTGCTACAATGTTGACAGTTTTAATTTTGTGATTTGAACCCAAAAGGCAGAGGGATGCGATAGGGAAGAAGCACAGGATAGACTCCACCCAACTGACTGATGATGACCCAGCTCTTAAATTGAGCAGTGGGTTACAGGTGCCCATATATACAAGGGGCAACCAAAAAACTGAAGTGTATTTATAAAAAGTTGTGTATTTGTTCTTACATGTTTAAACTTAAGTCACCTTCAAAGTACTCTCCGTTTGATGCAGTGCACCTGTTGGGATGTTTTTTCCACTGTTCAAAACAGTTTTTGAACTCGTTAATTTTGACACCTTTTAGTGCTTCTGACATTTTTTTGTTTCACCTCTTTCACTTCAGCACATCGTTTCCCTTTGAGGACTTTTTTCATCTGTGGAAACAAAAAAGTGTCACTTGGGTAAGGAGGGCAGGATCAGGTGACTAGGGAGAGAGGGTCATGCCATTTTCACCTAAAAACCACTGAACACTGAGCAGGGTGTGGGCAGGTGCACTCGTAATTCACCCATCATGAAATGGGCAAATGCATTGAAAGAGCCTTCAGAAAAAATCACTGAGACCAAATGCAGCCTCTCACAACAGTGCCAGCTGGTGCACTGATACAGAAGGTTCCCAGAACACTCACCCAGCAGGGGAAGCCTGTGCCACAAGGGGCCTGCCCTCCAGAAGATAATTCCAGGTTTTGGGGGGGTCCCTGTCATACATCTATTATTTGTATGTATAAATTATTTTATAATAAAAGCCTACACATGAACTAAATTTAAGGTTATTAAAGGACTTTCTGGGTATGAGAACACTTATTTCCTTCTTTTGACTGATTTTTTTCTGTTTAAAATTGTTTGATGGGGTATAAAAGGAAAGACTTGAAAAACTAATTATAACAAATGTTTTTTAAAATCTGTTTTCCTGTGGGCTGTTCTGTGTGACATGTGCCCGCAAACACTTCCCACAGCTGCACCCAGGACGCCTGTGGGCTTGTCACCATTGGTCTGTGACTTTACTAAGTCCTATCTGGAGTTGTCATTCATCAGTCACCTTGCACAGATTCAGTCTTCAGAGTGCGGGACTCTTGAGTAAAGCTTGTGTTTAATGTGGAGGCTGGTTATTCTCGACCTAATTAAATGAGTCTGGGGAAGATCTTAGCTGGGGCCAAGCGCCAACACATTTTCTTCCCTGGCTGAGGACTTTGACACAGAGCCCAGCCAAAATGTGGTCTTAAGAAAGGCCTGGGGTTTCTCTTGCTGACTCCAAGGACCAAAAAAGGGAGGCGAGAAGGCGCTGGGCCTCTGGTGATCAGGTGGGGTGGGCGTTTCAGCTCTGGTCTCCGAGTTTGCTCACGGCAGGCGCACTGCTCACTGCAGGCCGGTGGAGGGCGCCACAGGCAGCGGTGGCTTCGGAGCCACAGCCCCTCATGCATCTGCGAACCATGGCGATGGGTGTGGCCACGCTCTCCATCCCTGTCCTCCGCCACACACACACACAGCTGTGTGAGTCTGAGCACATGAACTCTACCCATTCGGTTTACTTATCTGCTTTAAGCTAAGAGTGGTGTCCTAGCACCCCTTTTCGTGTCCTTCAGCCCACACCTCTGAGTGCTCCACGGATCGGGACTAGGCTGTCACAGATGTACAAACAGTGTGGCTAAGAATCCCACTGGTGTCAGTCCTCCCCCTGCACTTGTACTCACCCGGCTACGCCTATCCTCCTCTCCCCGCACCCGACTCCAGTCATTGCTGTAACTAGACAATGAAATAGTCTCATGTTGAACATGTCTGAGCACAGCTTACCCTGTAGTATCATTATTCTACCCATTTTCTTGAGAGCAAGCAAGGCAAGGATTCCGAATACACTTTCATCCCTTACTGGGCCTCCGAACAGGCTTCTTTGCTCAGATGATGTGCATGCGGCTATAGCATGTTTTTTGTTTTTTTTTTTTTTTTCTTTTTCTGATGAATCTTTTAATGGCTGGCAAGTTGACAGCTTCATCTCTCCAGCAGTCCCAAAGGAGGCTGTTTGCTTTGGGGGAGGGGGGGGTGCATAAAACAGAAACTGTTGGTTAAATCACTATTAGTGTGTGTTTTACTTTTCTCCAGCTTTACTGAATATAATTGACATAATATTGTGTAAATTTAAGGTGTACAGTATAATAGGTTAATATGTATATATTGTGAAATGTTTACCATAACAAGTTTAGTTAACACATCCTGTACCTCACATAATTAATGTTTTGTTGTCGTTTTGTGTCCGTGTTTTTCTTAAATAGCCTGGGACTGGGTTCCCTTCCCCTCTGTCCAAGTTGGGGATGTTTACCAAGCAAAATGCACCCCCACTCAGAAAGCCCTCTCCTGGCCAGTATCCTACGTTCTTAATTCACAAAGAAGGCCAGAGATGAGAGACGGTGCAGGATTCCACTCACAGCGGACCCTTCGGCCCTCAGGGGGCTGTGCTGGAATTTGGGGAAATCAGGTGGCAGAGTGACCAGGAGATAGTCACACACTCTTACAGCCTTGAGACCAATGGCAAAACATTGAAATGGTCATTGTATTCACTCCTTTTCCTCTTTGTTTTCTGCAGGGAAGGAGACTGGTGGGAAGCCCGCTCCTTGACCACCGGAGAGACGGGTTACATTCCTAGCAATTACGTGGCTCCAGTTGACTCTATCCAGGCAGAAGAGTATGTTTTGTTTTGTTGTTCTCACTTAACCACCTTCTTTTAAAAGTTTTTTTGCACAGTAAAGTACATTAACATCGTGCAGGAGGGAGAAGAAACTCACTGGAGTGATTGAGCATGGAGAAACTATGGTAACTCCATGTCTCCCAGGCCTGTGCCTTTGTGTTTTGCGACATCTGTATCATACTGCCACTATTGCTAACGATTTTTCTTTAAGCTGCTCACTTTTTAAAACATACTTATTTTGAAAGGAAACTTTGTATCAGCAACCTAAATGAAAACCCAATGTGCTCTGCCATAGATAGAAAGCAACCATAAAGGTGTGATGAAATCGTAGCTAGAGAATATATTATTGTCAACAGTGGACTATAGTAAAAAAGAGAAAGAAAGGGAAATTTGGGAGAAAGAGTAAGAGGAGAGGAGAGAGGGAAGGGGGAGGGGAGTTTTGGCAAATAACTGTTGCTGATCAAATTGAGATTTTCCTCCTCAGTCTACGCAGATGCATTGAAAAGGTGTACCTTCTGTGCCCAGGTGGAACTCTCTCACATGGGTTGTGCCCTATACAACTTGATAAGTCCTGTGGTGATGCATTTCAGATGGTCCTTTCCTTTGATTTGGGGTCTCCTCTGGTTTCTCTGATAGTAAGTAGTGACTAGCAGTTAGCCTAAGGTCTTCACTGCTCACGGTTTTGGAGGTGGCCCATAGGCTGCGAGCATTGTAGAAAAACCAGCCATTGTTCTGTCTCCTGGCATGTGGGGATTCATTGGCACTTCCAATGTGGGGGACTGCTGGTGACTCGGGTGGTGACCCTAATTTCTGAACCAAGGGAGAGGGAGCTGGAACCTGGCCCTCTCCCTGACACCTCGGGGGCCTGCCTCACCCGCTTGGTGGAGGCCCTCCTGCGTTAGGAGGAAAGTCCGCCCAGCCTTTGGCTCTGATATTTAATTTTGCCCTGGATTTGTTTAAGCTTCGGGGAGGATTAGACTGCACACCTCAGCCAAATCCCCAACCGGCTCACTCTCTCGTCTTGAATTCCTTTGCGCCTCCTCTGAGGAGACCTGTTTTGTTTCCCACTCCCACCTCGTCAGCGGCTCCCAGCTCCTTTCCCTCCCGGGGAGTGTGTTTCATCAGCAGAGAATAAAGGAATTCGTACTGAATCTTTATTTTAGGGCAGAGCGGCAGACATCTTTCTGTTCTTTCAGCATAAAAGCTACCACCAAAAATGTAGCATTTTTAAAATTTAACTGAGAATCTACCCACTATATATTTAACTTGTATTTATGGTGCTGAAGATTTTTAATATTGTGTTTTTAAAGAATAAAATACCATTTGAAAACAATGCCTGTGGTTTTACATATGCAATTAATTATCAGTATTTTAAAGTACTATTGTTTTCATGCAATCCATTGTTCTAACAGCCCTCTTTTCACTATGTTCGTGTTTGTGCTGCATTTGAATTGGTACAAACCCACAAAGCCATTTCTCACAAATAATTGGTATAATTCTTTCCACACCATCTTCTGCTGGGTTAGAATTGTTGCACAGTCTGGTGCCTTTAAAAGTCACTGCGGAGCTAACACGCAGCAGGTCTTTTCCTATCTTTAGTGAAGCTCTTTCATTCACAAAAGAACTTGACAGTGAACATATAATAGCTATGCTCAAGTATAATGAATTGAAATTTCATTTTAGAAACTGGATCCTCTCACAGTTAAATATTCTAAAGATTGTTCCTTTACGCAGATTCCAATGGCATGCCTCCGAATCCTCCCCTGGGGTCCCGGAGCACCTGCTGCTTGTTCGGCACCCAGTGCCGGGGCGTTAACTAATTGCCGCACCATGATTAGGGCTAGCGTGCAGGGGGGAGATGAAAGACAAATGACAGGTTGCAAGGTGACTTGATGTGATTCCTCCTAAAGGGGCACAGGAGTGTCATCACACAAAGAGCATGAACATGCCCGTGACACAGTCTTTTCCCAGGACGTGCTCATTGCCTGTGCACAGCCGCCTGGCCCAGGCCAGATGCCGGGCAGACGCCCTCCGCTCATCAGCGTCCTCACACTCCCGTGCTGGACAGAAAGACAATACAATCAGCCTCCAAGGCCAACACGTGTCGCAAATGAGGGGTAGTCTTGACCATTTTTTCAGAGTTCCTATAGGTAGGGAATAACTGAAAATATTCTGTCTTTGTTCTTTATCCATTCTGAGGGTTTTTTTTTAAGTGCCTGATTAATGGCCTTTATCTACAATGAGACTGTGTTTTGTTATTTCCCAGGGATTGTAATTATGCTCAGAAATCCATGGTGGTGTAGATGTGTGTAGGAAGAGTTTCCTGTGGCTGGCATTTCAAACAAGGTCTCGGATTTCTCTTTTTGGGCAGGCAGGTGGCAGATTTAACACAAACCAGTTCTTGTCATCTCTGGAAAGAAGGAAAATAACCCACAAATCAAATCTAATTTTTTTCTAAAGACTGAAAGAGATGGATTAGGGGTGGAATTAGGAATAGATTGAAAGGGAACTAGATGAGACTAGGAAAAAAATATTCACAGATAGGGAAAGGCTAAGGATGAAATCAGAGATTAGGATTCATGGACAAGAGCTTGTATGATTCCATTTTTGTAAGTGATTCCTATAAAATGTTTCCTTTTTCTGATCTGATTTATAGGTGGTACTTTGGAAAACTTGGCCGGAAAGATGCTGAGCGGCAGCTTTTGTCCTTTGGAAATCCACGAGGTACCTTTCTCATCCGTGAGAGTGAAACCACCAAAGGTAAGATGACAAGCTGAAGAGGTCCACTTGTCATTCGGATGTGAATTACTCAGAAGAGATGAGAGGCTTGCCTCTGATGAGCAAGGATTTTTAAATGGCACATATCCTCCCCGCCTTGCGAGGGAGTCCTGTTCTCAGCTTTTCCTCCAGGCACAGGGGCAGCCAGCCTGCGGGCTGCGGGCTGCACGCAGCCCAGGATGTCTGAATACAGCCCAACACAAAGTTGTAAATTTACTTAAAACATTACGAGAATTTTCTTGAGATTACGTGTCACAGTGTATCTACTGTGTGGCCCAAGACAACTCTTCGTCTTCTGGTGGAGCCCAGAGACATCGAAAGGCTGGGCACCTCTGCTACAGACAACTCCAAAAAGACTGCAGAGGCCCCAGATCAAGACCTTCCTCTCGTAGCAGGGTCTGGGGCAGCAACACTCCTTCCAACACACAAGGTCACAGAATGTTCACAAGTCGTTTAGAATTAGGAAGTTCTGAAACTCTTCGTTCCTCGAGTACCAGACATACAGGTTGTTTTTGCATTTCTTTTGTGTTTTTCATTCCTGAGGACTGCTCTCCCTCCACCTATTGGCCTTTTCATGATTTAACATCTCATTAGAGCCCGCAGGAAGAGCTGGGCGGAGGAGAGGAGCAGTGGCCTCCTGGCTGGACCTGGCAGGCGCTGGTTGTCCGCTCCTGGGGAAAGTGTTGCGAGGCAGAAAGTGGGAGCTCACTTCTAGAGAAGCAGTCCGTTTCCCTGGTGCAGTCTCTCCCTGCCTCCATGGTGCTCCGTGGCTGATGGAGACTGGGTGATGGAGACAGGGAACATGGGGAAAGGGAGGATTACGGGGAAAACTCGAGAAGCCTTTATTCTCAAGGGCACAGTCATTTTATTGCTAATATATTCTGACATTTTCAGGAAAGGGGTGTTTTCTTCCTGTGTTACTGAGTGGAAAGGTGTGCATGCATGCGTGTGAGGATATGTGTGTCTCCTCTTGGTAATTATTAATCAGAATAGTCAAGTAAATGAGACCTAAATAACAAACGAGTACTCAAAATGATTGGAGCTGCTAATACTTTGCATGTTTACCAGGTGCCTATTCACTTTCTATACGTGATTGGGATGATATGAAAGGAGACCATGTCAAACATTATAAAATTCGCAAACTTGACAATGGTGGATATTATATCACCACCCGGGCCCAGTTTGAAACACTTCAGCAGCTTGTACAACATTACTCAGGTAACCTTAATTCTAACTAGCAACTAACCATTTGGACACTGGCGGGACGGGGTGGGCTCAGAGCAGGAAAGGGGAAAGGCAGAGAGAAGTGGGGTACAATATATACATACAAAGTCACTAATAAAACACATCTGACCCTTGCCCAACATGGTTTGAATTGCCCAGGTCCACTTCTTTGCACCTTTGTCTCATTAAATATATACCGTTCTGTAAATGTATTTTCTTTTCCTTATGATTTCCTTAATAACGTTTCTTTTCTCTACCGTACTTTATTATAAGATTATAGTATATAAAACATATAACACAAAATATGCATTAGTTAACTGTTCAAATGTGTTCAGCAAGGATTCTAATCAACAGTAATCTTTTAGTAGTTCATTAAACCTTGGGGGCATCAAAAGTCAAACATGGATCTCCAGTGGCATGATAGCCATGTCCCTTAGCCCCCTTGTGGTTCAAGGGTCAACTGCAGTTTTCTTTGCTAGCCCCCCAAGGTGGGTAAATAGGTTCTACTGATGGTTTTCTACCATAATTATAAGTTCCATCAAAAGATTCTGTAACATTCTAGTTTCCCCGGTGGGAAGCAATAGGTTAAACTTTAAAAGGTCTCTGCCCTCTTCCTCTGCAGGATGTAATTGAGAAACCATGAGAGGGAGCAGGGACAGTCCCTGGGAAGGAACTCACACAGGGCCCCACGGGGTGTTGTGTTTCTGCCTCCACCTCAGGAACGACTGTGCGCGCATGTCGTTCTCATAACTGGAGGAATTTCTCAGTCCATTTGCCACATTCCCTTCCCCGCTGATACTTCTGTCTCTAGCGAGACCTATTGCGTGGCTCGCAGCTCAGTTACAGCTACTGCCTTAAACCTTTTCAAACAGTAGATCGGTCTCTGTCCTAACACCCAGATGTCACCATTAGTCTGTTCTTGCTAGACATGTATACTTAGATGTTTAGATGTGCGATTTGTACATTTTACTAAACAACATGGTCACAGGTGCAAGTATTAAAATCATTGCTTTCTTCCCTAGATTAGCCCTCTATAATACACACAGATAGATATAGATATGCATGTGCAGATACAGATCTCTATCCCATTAAACCCAGGAGTTTTTGTGTCATTTTATATGATTCTTCAGGACAAAGGCAGTACCTCAAAATTGAATGTGACTTGGCCCCCACTCTTGCTGTATGCACATGCACTACAAAATACGAGTATGTGTGTGTGATTTTTTAGCAACCAATAAAAGCAGTCTTTTGAAAATGGCAATAAGAAATACCTATCTGTTGATCCTTGGCACTAGTAAACAAGTGAAAAAATTAGCAACACTTAGAGTATTTATTGATTAGGGCACTGGGGAACTTTAGTTTATGTGGATTCTGATGAAATACTTGAGAGAAATGGAGCAGAATGTCTCCCTGAGCTTAAATGACATACTCAAAATGCCTGCATGCTGTGTTTTTCAAATGCCAAAATATATTGCATTATAGCCAAACATCAGCAGGATCCCCAGGGTTTGGATCATTTGAAAATACTGTGTTGGAAAGGGCACCTTAATAACATCATAAAGCTGGAAGGAGAGAAAGGATATGAAGAGTAACAGACATATTTTTAATCTCAAAAAAATCCATCTCAAGTTAGATTTGTTTTTATATTGGCTTTTCCTCTTCCCTCCTTCTTTCTCTCACACAATAAAATGCCTTTGAAATATCGGCTCATAAATAATTTCCTGTCTAAACATCTCAGAACCTAATTCTATCAAAAATAAGGAATAAAAAAGTAACTTACAACTGGTTCTTGGAGAAAAGGCAGCAACACCAGATTTGATTTCCCTGCTCCGAGGGACCTGGGGCGGGGCGGGGCCTTCTGCAGCTTTTGTCACTGCCCGCATTCCTCGTCCTTCTCCACCTTTTCCTGCCTGGCAGATGTTCAACTTGGCATTTAGGCAGCTTCCCCTCGCCATCACCACGGCTAGAGTCTAGAAGGCATATTCTTTAAAGGGAGAGAGAGAGAACCTTCCAAATCACCTCACAGTGATAACTGCTTCTTTCCTTTATTTTGGGAAACAGACTTCTTTTACATCCTTGAGTTTCTACACATTTCAGTTTTCATTCTTTCTGCTTACACACCAGGCTTCTAAATTATACACTGGAGATTGTTATAAACATTTTTAATGGGAAATATCAAAGAAGTAAGAGTACCTGGCTAGCAGAATAGAGTCAGTTAAAATGCCAGAGAAATCACTAGAGAAATGTGGCCTTATTTTTCCCCTGCCGGGAGTGATCTTCATCCTTAGTTTGTAACCACCTAATGTTCTGAAGAAGGATCCTATGCTGAAGTTACAGTTTTAAATATACTCCCCAAACCCTCGATTTTAGAGGGCGGGGAAAGATAATCATACTGACATTCTGCACTCCAAATGTACCTTTGGAAATTACTGGAGGTATTTTCAGAGAACATTATTAGCATATTGGGCTGAAAATGTTTTTTTTTAACCTAGTGAGTATAGAAACCAAAACAGTCTGTATCAGTTTATACGAATAGATTATAGTATACCTGGGGATGTGGAGGAGTTCAGATTTCAAACGTCCTCTATTCTGCCTTCGATAAACATGTTTCAGTGTGTGGCGTCTAACCCCCCAGATGTGTGTAGTTCTCTGCACTGTAGCACTGTTGGAGCAAGGCTGTGTGCCGGCCGGGTTTGTGCGCTGTCGTGCTGTTGTTTCATGTGTTCTGCTTTTCTCTCCCTCTCTCACCACCGTCCCCGCTCCGTCAGAGAGAGCTGCAGGTCTCTGCTGCCGCCTAGTAGTTCCCTGTCACAAAGGGATGCCAAGGCTTACCGATCTGTCTGTCAAAACCAAAGATGTCTGGGAAATCCCTCGAGAATCCCTGCAGTTGATCAAGAGACTGGGAAATGGGCAGTTTGGGGAAGTATGGATGGGTATGCTGAGACTCAATTATTCTATCACTAGCTTCCTCGTTTGGGAAGTCCGAACATCAAAGATGGAAGGTGAAAATAAAGACTGTGTGACCAGAAGGAAAGTTTGGATTACTAATAGCAGGGAATAATGGTTCTGATTTTGGAATTCTAGAAGTTCTAGAAAAAAAAGATGTAAGTGGTCAAGATTGGCAACTGGCTCAAATTATACTATTATGTGTGTCTCAATTCATAAACCAGCAAATGGTGCAAGGAGTGTTCTGGCCTGCACCAAATGCATTGCTCTTCGTTTCCAACTGCAAATTCTTGTCCAATGAACTCAGTATCGCCCTAAAGGGCAAGTCACCTTCCATCTTCCCTAGTGCATGCATGATTATGGATTATAAGGACTATGTTTTCTTTATTAATCCTCTTTCCTGTAGAGAAAGCTGATGGTTTGTGTTTTAACTTAACTGTGATTGCATCAAGTTGCACCCCACAAACTTCCGGATTGGCTAAAGATGCTTGGGAAGTTGCACGTGATTCGTTGTTTCTGGAGAAGAAGCTGGGTCAGGGGTGTTTCGCTGAAGTTTGGCTTGGTAAGGCAGAGGGTATGTTTTGTTATGGCTGCATCTCAAAGCCAATTAAAAGGATGGTTTTGAACAAAGCACATTTAATAGCCTTTGGGACCAAGACACTTAACCTGGATAGCTGGTACAGGCCATCCAGATTTTCAGAATATGGCAGTGCCTTCCTGTACTCATCTGCCCTACCTCATGTGGTAATTAAGGCACAGAACAGGAAACCAGTACAATAGGAACCTGGTGTTTCTTCTTCCTAAGACCTGGGAAGGTAAGATGCTATAGACAGGCTACTATAGGAGGAAACCGTGAGCATTTTTGCTCAATGGGCCTGGATTTTTTGCTCAATCTTTATTAGCTGATTAACCATGGGCAAAGGTTCTATTTAACCTCTTTGAGCCTCAATTTTCTCATCTGTAAAACTGGAATGATACCTACTTCATAGGACTGTGTTGAGGACTACAGGAGACAGTATGTTTAGAGTCCTTTGCACATGGTAGGTGCTCAGTAGACACACATAGTTCTCTGGATTTGCTTGTCATGCCATTGATTAAGCCACCTGCACTAGGCTCTCCCCACTGTTTTTATAACTCCCTTTTGGGCAATTGCAGCTTTGCTTGAAGATAATCCACAGACTTGGGTCTCGCCCAAACACATCTGTCAGTAAGACAATATTAGTGCTTCTGGAATCCTCCTTCTGCATCTCTAAGACTCAATTAAAATCATATAGAGAAGTGCCTGTTCTGACATGTCACTGTAGGTGTTTAAGTGTGGTCTGCACTAAATGATTTAACACAGTTAAAACACTCTGAACAAGCCTGGCAATGAGTAAGTACTACAGAGATACAAAGTTACAAATAGAGTTAGAGATAGAGAGATATAAAATAGTAGTAGATAGATAGATAGATTCTCAGTCATATGTGTACTTGTATAAGCTATTTTAATAAGTATCATTATAATCATCTTTCAGAGTCTACATTGTTGTGTCCATCTCCTCTGGACTTTAACTCAAATATTGTCAAATATGTTTATATGACCCTCCTCTCCCCCTTCTGCCCAATTTATAATTAATATTCTGGGTACTAAGAGTTTTACCCAATCACTAATACAATCAGGAGTGATCGGGCACTGTATAAAACTTTACCTGCAAAGTTTTAAATTATCAACTTTAAATCATTACACATACTATTAAGATTTTGTTTCCCACTGAACATAAAACCTCATTTTGTGGTAGTCAGGGTTGGGATGGAATGCCAGTGTAGGCAACTGGGTTGTTATTTGAGAAAAAGATCTCCTTTGACATTTTGGGGGTGCTAACAACATTCAAAGAGCAAAGACCACTTACAAGTTGTCAACTTTAAGTTTAGTAGTCAGATATTTTATAATATATGATGAATTATTCTTTAAGCTACTTGTTCTTTTATGATTCATATTTTTACAGGTTACATGCTATAATGATGTGAACCATGTTTTATTTTTAACAGGGTAAAAAAGCTTTCTTCAATTTACAGAATTTTTAAATTATAAGTCAGTCATATTAAGTATGAAAATTAATCTTAATCCAGCTTTTTCCAAGTAGAAAATAACATAATCTAATTTAGCAGGGCTTTTTTTGTTTTCCTTATAAATAGTTTTAATTCAAGGTCACAGGAATGATAATGGAAACACATACAAACCATGTTTTGCTTTGTTCAATTTGGGAGCCGAAAGAGACTCAAAAGATAATCCAGTTTCACTTCAGCATTTTACAGATGAGGTAACTGACGGTCATACACCAGGCATACCTCTGGACCTACTAGGTTATTTTAACATGTTAAGTTTCAATATTTCTGTTCCCTCTCAGCTGTTATCTGGCTTCTGCAGTCTAGCTGACAGAAGTCCTTGCTCCTGTTGTGGCTCACCGTCAGTAAACCCGAGGGGTCTTTCTTACCTGGTTGAAGTATGGGCAAGTAGACTGTAAGCTTCTTGCTGGTGCTTATCACTAATTCCAATCTTACGTGTAGACCAACTCTTCAAGGACTCAGTCAAGTATTGAGGTAGCTCATCCGTTGCAGACAATAGGAAGTCTAGAGATATAATTGCCAGACATCCTCAGCATGTTGCCATATTTTTTAAATGGCAAACCCCATAAAGTGGAACTTAATTTCAATTCTTCCATGCTCGCTCTGTTGCCTAACGGATGGACATTGGATAGCCTGGCTCATTCTAACCCCTGAACTTTCATTTTTGTGAAGAAATGTCCAGAGCTTTTGATACAGATTTGTAATCACATGGCTGAACCAGACAAGGAAAGTGGTATATATCAAAATGAGAAAAAAGTTAAATTATAAACCATATCTTAGTCATATGTAATATAAACATACTTTTTCTGTTGAAATACTTGATAGAGTCCTTACATTTGATTGTCTTTGATCAACAAAAACTATATTGTTTAACTTACAGTCTAACTTTATACAAATAGCTATTGGTTAAAAAACTTCTTTTCACCAAAAAAGGACCTTTGGTTTGACTTACTGTTATGGAATGTCCACAGGCACCTGGAACGGAAACACAAAAGTAGCCATAAAGACTCTTAAACCAGGCACCATGTCCCCCGAGTCATTCCTTGAAGAGGCGCAGATCATGAAGAAGTTGAAGCATGACAAGCTGGTCCAGCTGTATGCGGTGGTGTCCGAGGAACCCATCTACATTGTCACCGAGTACATGAACAAAGGTCGGGCACGGCCTCTCCAGGCTTCACCTCACAGTGACCTGCAGGGTTGTTTCGGGAAAGGAATGGAGTTGCCTGCCAGATTTCTTTCCTAGTTTCTGCATGACTCAAGCATTCCCACCAGGAAGCACAGATCGTGTGCTCATTAATGAAAACACTTTAGAACCAACTGTGACCTTGGGTCTGCCCCCCAAGTGCTTGTGGTACCACTGCCATGTGCCTGCTGCACGTGAAGAGTTGCAGCTCCTCTCAGTTATGAAAACATTCATTTTGATTATCAGTGATATGAGAAGCTGTGAGTTTGCTATTGTTTTGAACGCCATAGCATGCGTTAAATTTCCTTTTTGCAGGGCCGAACAATTGATTTCAGGCACTGGTCTCTGGGCTAAGTTTATGCTCCATCTTTTAACGTCTTATTTTTTTGTCAGCTCTCTTTTTAAACATCAAATGAAGAAAGACATGCTTTTAAAGAGCACATTTTATTCTCATTCTCTCTGTGTGTGGCTGTCTCTCTCTCTCTTCTAATCAAAGCAGTATTGTTGGGGATAAGGCCAAAGATCACTTTGTTTCGGAAAAATAGATGAACCAAACAAGAAATGCCCTTAAAAGGCAATGCATTGTACATCAGAGGATTACAGTGTAATTTTTCCTTTCCATGTACTTTTAAAATACATTTGGAATTTTCTTCCTGGCAGATTGTTTGTCCTTTATATACAGGGTTATTTGGTGTATAACTTTGTGATTAAAACATGAAAAAAATCACCTTCACCATCATGGGCCTCCAGCCTCTGCACATGACTGTTTGCGCCCTGGTGTCAGTTCTGAGCTCCTCAGGCCGAGTCATCCAGGCAGCACTGGAGCTCCAGCGGTGCTGATGCAGGGGTAGTGCTGATGCAGGGGCCGTTGAGACCCGGCTGGCCACGCGCCACTTGCTCTGCCCTGTATTTCCCAGATTTTTCTTTTCTTTCCTTTTCTTTCTTTTTCTTGTCTTTCCTTTTCTTTCCTTTTCTTTTCTTTCAGACCTCCTCTTGATTTAAAATCTGTAAATAAGTTAGGTCAGTGATTCTCAAACTTTACTACGTGCCAGAATCAATCACCTAGAGGGCTTCTTAAAATACAGGTTTCTGGGCCCAACCTCCAGAGTTTCTGATCCCGTAGATCTGGAGGGGACCCGAGAGTCTGCATTTCTACCGAACTCCCTGTGGGCTGCTGTCCCCGCTGGTCTCAGGACCACATTTCAGGAGGCACTAGGTTGGGAGGTGTCTCCTGGCCTCACCCCTTCGTGCAGGGCTGGCCGGGGAGCGAGACAAGTGGTGCGGCTCTTCACATGTTCTTCGTGACGAAAAGGGAATTGAGTCCCATTTCTTCTAGTTTTATCAAATGTTTGTTGTCCTTGGAAATGACATCACCATTATTTATTTTTTAAGGCTTTTTCTGTCTTTCACTTCATAGTTTTTTCTGGGTTTTGATATAAACCTTTATTTTGCATCAATGGCATTATTTAATTCAGTTTTCTCACTACTTCTAATAAGAAAACCAAATATAACCCTTTGTTGGAAATTGTTATCTTGCAAAGCAAATTGAAATGGTTTTATGTTTTATTCACAGGAAGTTTACTTGATTTCTTAAAAGATGGAGAAGGAAGAGCTCTGAAACTACCTAATCTTGTGGACATGGCAGCACAGGTAGGCCTCGTGGTACCTGGATTCCTGCCTTAGATGCAGTTGACATGTGATACATGGAGCCAAGGTCTAACGTGCTCTGTTCCCTTGATGTCCACAGGTCGCTGCGGGAATGGCTTACATTGAGCGCATGAATTATATCCACAGAGATCTGCGATCAGCAAACATTCTAGTGGGGAATGGACTAATATGCAAGATTGCCGACTTTGGATTGGCCAGACTGATCGAAGACAATGAGTACACAGCCAGACAAGGTAGGCGCTTAAATGACAGTGCTCCTGATCACATCCTTGAAAACAGTGATTTACTGCACAGCCCTTCCTCCCTCCTTTCCTTCCCTTCCTTCAGAAAATATTTGAAATGTCATTCTACAGATGGGTTTTTTTCTTCTTGATCTGGCAGGAAGCTGACAACTCAGCAGGTGGGATATTGTAGTGGGTTTCAGTAGATGGATGAGATGTTCCTTTCTTGATGAGTGAGTGACGTGGTCCTCCTGGTTTGTGCCGCCCTCCTCGTGGTATCAAGGCCTGGGACACTTTGCTTTTGGAGAAGAAGGATTATGGAAGGGTCACAAATTAGTCAAGTAATAGCTCATCATGCCATCAGAATCTCAGCAAAAAAAAAAAAAAACAAGACATGCTCACTGGATAATTTAATAAAGGAATTATTTACAAAGGTATAGGCAAGGTTTGGGAAAACCAGCAGGGCATGATGGGTGTCTCAGAGCTAGTGACAGCAGTGGACCCAAGCCCGAAGGCAAAGTGGGTGGAGGGTGGCAGGCAGCAGAACTAAGGATGCAGCCGTGCCGAGAGGCCACCTTTCACTAGAGAGAGACAGCGGGGATGGATCTGGAGGACTCACACCCAGGCTCACTGTTCAGCCCTCCAGTCCTCCTCCCAAACCCAACTAGAAGCCAGAGATCAAAGGAGCCCATTGATGAGATCAGATGGGTCCTGAGCAAGGAGAACAGTAAAATGGGGATTTAGAGGGAGAATAGAAGATAACATAGTTACTTGAAAAATCACCTCCTTTAACCATCTACTTTATTCCACCCCCTCCAAAGATTTGTAGAATTAGCCTTTAGAAAAAAACATATCCCAACTATCAGCTACTCCAGTGGGGCAGCTTTTGGGTGCTGTTAGAGCGAGCACCGGACACCAGGGAGGGAACACCAGTGTTCCTGTCCTCCTCGATCTTCACGTAATGGTCAGCAGGTAAAACTGTGGAGTTAAATGTGCTGTTGACAATTAAATGTAGGCTCCTCACATAGAGTATAACGCTTGTGTCTGAAGGAGGGGCTTCACCATGGTCGTTTTTAACCAAGGCCTGGCTATTCTGAGCAAGGCTGAGCAGTGACTGGAATATATTACAGAGCAGTGCTTTCTACTAGATTTCATAAAGGCCACCTCTGGAATTCTTATTCTTATTTATTTTTTAATTCTTTCACAGCATTCCAATTCTTCCCTGCTTTTATCATTCTCAGCCGTCTCAAGTGATGAGGCAAAATGTTAAACTAAAACCCTGAAATCCTGGCTCGTACAGATACTGTCCAAATACAGAAGTACATGTCGGTCAGACAGCTTGGCTATTTGAATTTCCCCAACACGTGGCAGTTCTTGTCCTGGAGCCAAATGCCCACACACTACACACACACGCCGATGCAGGGCCAGATGGCATGCGTATCTCTAATCAAAAGCGCACGGCAGCTTTGGTTGGCACCGACAGTCCAGAGAAAAACGTGGACGTGATTTTAAGTCAAGGTGAGCTGAGAGGGTCTGAAGTGCCACTGTGTCCGAAACCTGGCCCCAAATGACAGAGTTTACCCTGAGGCAAACCTGTCAGATCTCAACTCACAGGCCTGGAAGGAGAGCTGAGTGAAAGCTGTGAGACGTGAATACTTGATTCAGGAAGGAGAGAGAATGGAGTCGATCTTGGCGTTTGGTCCTGTAAGCATTCTTTCATTCTTCCTGGTGCTGGAGGGCCTGATTCAGGATTTGTTTCTCCCCTTCTGGACTTGGGGCTGCACAGAATTTGTGTTTAACAGCCTTGAACCATCAATAAATGAAAAGGTTAGGGCCCAAAGCCCAAGGATGCTGGCAGGGGTGCTCTTGCCAGGGTCTGGCTATTTAGTTCATAGAATGAGGTTCCCCCTGGCTGTGGCCCTGGGTGATTAGTGCCCCGGGAGAGGGCATGTGAGGAGCCTCTCACAGTTGCTGCGGAACAGGGCCAGTGGCCACCCTTGGCCCTGGCCATCAGTCTTGCCTTCTTCTTCAGTTAGTTGTCCTAACTGCTCTTCTGGGGCTTCCTCACCCCACCATTACTCTCCCAGATGCTCTCCTGCTGCCTCTCAAGGATTGGCCTCAAACCCTTTGTACCATGTTTCCTTCACTTAATTTCCAAAAAGAATATCTCACTCTTCCTTCTTAGAGAAAAAGAAATTTTTTTTTTCTTCTCTCTTCTTTTTCAAAATATCTTAAAATCCATGCCAAACACCGGAAAGAGATAACTAAGAAGTAAATGAACCGGAGAATTCAATGAGGGAGGGAGGGAAACAAGGGCTGGGGCTCTGGGACTTGCGAGAAGAATGAAAGAAAAGCTGTCCTACAGTAGAGGGAGAGGAAGGAGCAGGGGCATTTGTGGAACAGCTGCGCAGTGCCAGGCCTGAGCTGGAGATGTGAGGAGTGAGAGGAAACAATAGCAATTGACTCAGAGGGGTTAAGTAACTCATACAAAGTCACACAGCTAGTAAAACAGCAGAGGCAGGATTTGAATCTGGGTTTGGCTGTCCCTATTGCATCTTCCCTCTTAAGCTGCATTGACTGCCTCTCATCCAGACAGTGATTTAAAAAAAAAAACAGGAAATTATGAGATAAGTCCTAAGTCCCTTTTCCCATTATTTTATGGAAAAGTTTTTAAGGGGAACCTCCTACCGTGCCTGTGTGAGAGACTTAGAAAGACCCTCATTTTCTGGCTCTACAAGAACTCAGCTGTTTATAAAATTCATCCCAAGGCTCTGCCCTGCCCTGCCCTCTTTACAAAGCAGGAAGGTCCTGGTGCGTGTCTGCTGGTGTGCTCTGCAGATGGCATGCGTGCTGCACGCTGAAGATTCTGCTGGGGATTAAACAGCTCCTCCACACAGCTGCTCCGTGTGCCTGGTAATATTTGCAGTCGGGTTTTATGATCCCCACAGGCCACAGCCAGCCAGCATCTTGATTATGGGAGCGGGAGCAGTGTTCAGAAGCACGTGCTGAACACAGGTATTTAGGACTGTGAGTGACAGTTGTTCAGCACAGTTGTGACCTTCCCATCTCAGGGCACACTGAAATGCCTGTCACCCCCCTGGACAGATGAGACGGCATTTCCTGGAGCACAAGCAGAATTGGAGTATGGACCTGTGTTAACAGCTTTTCTGGTGTTCCTTTCCTCCTACCACCCCCACCACAGGGGACAGCACACAGAAGCCCCAGGTCAGGAAGAAGGTCAAGGCTAGGCCCAGAGTCTCTGAGGGTAATCCTCTGCCAACAGCATTCTGGAGGCAACTGGACATTATTTGGTGCTGCTCATTCTCTTTGACCAGTACATTTCCCTCAGTGACAGCAGACAGATCTTTGATCATGAGCTCTTTGCTAAATTCTGACCAATCCTGGTCTCTGAGTAATGCCTGTGTTAATTATTTGAGGGCCCTGTCTGTGCAGGGGACTTGGCGAGTGCAAGGCTGCACAGGGGCAGTCGAGGAGAAGTGTACAGCAGCATCACCGAAGTTAGGTAGCACTAGATTTGAAACCCAGCTCTGTCATCTGGGGCCTGGGACAAGTCCTCTAACTTTGCCACATCTCATTTTGCTTATTTGTAGAAATATATTTTACCTGCTTTGTGTTTTAGTTTTTGCAAATATTAAGTAAAACAAAACATTTAACATATTTAGCATAGCGCCCAGTGCATAGCAGGTGGTAAGTAAAAAATACTCTTGTTATGTCCCATATAGGACTAAGTTTTTGGATAATAAACAAGTGCAAGAATGGATTATAGACACAATGGAAAGGCCTAAACACTATTCAAGAAAGGGAGAGAGGAATCAAAGATAATTCCCAAGTAGTTAAATGGCAAGAACGGAGTTGCCAACAACAGAGATGAGTGAGTCAGGACCATCCTGTTTTCAGAGAAAGAGGGTGAGTTTGGTTTGGGATATGTTGAGCTTGAGGTGGTTGTGGTAGTGCATCCAAGCGAGATGTCGAAGCCCAGAGAGGTCAGTTGAAGTGCCCTTTGCCACGGGTCCTCACCCTCTGGCCCTCCCTGCCACTGTGCCTCAGCCAGCACTGGCCCCTCACCCCTGTGCTACCTACAGCCTCCCCTGAGGTCCGACCACAGCCTCCCCAGCCCCAGCACTGCACCTGCACCCCAGAGTCACTCCACAGCTGCCCCAGCCCTGCCTGGGCCGTGGGCGCCACAAGGCTCTTCTGTGGGTCTCGTCCTCACACGTCCACACCACACCTGTCTGCCGTAACCACCAGCGCAGCAGCTGTCACCCAGCTGCACTTGCCAAGACTCACAGCCCCCAGCCATCAGACAGACAGGAAGCAGAAGGAGAATTCTTGACAGGCTCCTGTTTTTTTCTTCTTAAGCTTTCAGAAAGCTCGGTGTGACAAACATCAGTTTAAACCTAACAAGTTGAGATAGGCCTGGCTTATGTATAAGAATGACTTGCTTTTGTGCACACTTACATTTTTTGGGAACCATAATGTAGAAACAATAAAATGAATAAATCTGAAGTGTACAAATCAGTGAATTTTTACATCTGTATATGTTTCCAAAGTCACCTGCAGATGAAGACTCAGAGCCCTGGCAGGCCCCCCAGCCCCTTCCAGCCCGTAGCCTCCCCAGAGGGGACCACTGTCTTCGCCTCTGTCGTGGTAGATTCACTTTGCCTGTTGTTGAACTTCACAGACATCGGTCTTTTGTGTCTGGCTCCTTACCCATCATTGTATGAGATTCATCCATGTTGCGTATTAACAGTTGTCCTTTCCTTTATATGGCTGAGTAGTCTTCCATTTTACTAATGTATCAGTCCACCCATCCTACTAGTATTTCTAACGTGGAGCTGTTATAAATTAGCTGCCATGGTGGTGGATGTACATCCTCCTATTTACTGGGTATATTCACAGAAGTGGAATTGTTAGCTCACCAAGAAAGGGGGCTAGCATTTGTCACTGCTGCCCAGCAGATTCTGTGGGTGCGACTTTGAAGGGAGAGCACC